AGAAAGCTATTAGAACAAAGACGAGGAAAAGCTGAGTATTTTACTGACATTGATTAGGAATGTTAACGAGCACTATGAAAGGTATTGTACATTAATAACAATCATAAGCTTTCACTGCTACTTAAATACATTTCTGAAAGAAAATTATTTTAATTTTCAAACTAAAAAAATATAAAAAGGAAAATTAAAATTAAAAAACTATTATATATATTCAAAACACATCAAATAAAATTATTTTCATCATAAGCCAATAAAGAACATGGCCCGTTTTCACGACCCCTAACTGAAATTTGCCGCGAAAATATGCTAAATGGAGTTCCAGCCAGGAAGCAAAAAAAAAACAAAGCAGGAAAACAGCAGAATGAAAACAAGCACAGGGAAAACGAGAATAAAATAAATAAATAAAAATAAGGAAAATGGCGAAAACAGCTTGAACATCACGCCATGTAACTGGCAATTGACTGCGAACAGTTCTGCATATAAATTGAGCAGATTGAGATGCAAGCGCACAGATAGAGATACACCGATATATATATATATATATATACGTATCCGTATATAAATCCAAAGTGGGGGTGGGGCGAAAGTGACAGCCCCGAAAACGAGATCAAGATTTGTTTCGTTTCCATTTCCGTGACCATTCGCAACCATTCTCCCTGGTGTTTATCCACCTGCCACTTTCCCCGCTTTTTTTTCCCCGCTTTCTCAGCTTTCTCAGCTTTTTCCTCGATTTCCCCGTTTTCCCAGCTTTTCCTTCGACTTTCCTTCCGTTTTCTGTGCGTGTTTATTTGCCTGTACATTATTTGTACACACGATTGCCTTTCGCATATTAAAGACGAATTCATAATAAATACAAAGGCATTGCCATGGTCATATCTCGAGTTATAATCTCTTGCCTGCTGAGACTTCCTCCTTATAGATAAGAAAGTGGCTTTGTTGGCCCCAGAAAGGGGAAATCAACTCTTTATGCTGGGAAATGGTATTTTTAATGCTTAGGAATTTAGCCTATTATTTTCTAAGGCATGTGTGAGCTGTACAAAATTGAATAATAATAATTAAAATTCTTTAGTTCTTAAAGTAAAATGGAAAACCTATTTACTTCCACTGGGACATAGGTAATCCTTAAATTAGAAAAATATCTTATTACTATAAAAATTGTTTGATACATCTTTCATTCCAAAAAGTCCAATAATTAATGTTTAAATTCCATTGATGGTATACGAGTAGAAAACTGCAAAAATGCTAGATATTACTTACACATGCTGCTGTCTGTCAGGATCCTTAGAGCAGCTTCTCCCATTTTTTCTTCGAACTGAAAACCGTCAGAATTTCAGAACAACCGACTTGCAACATGGCCTAATGAGGTGGAAAAAAACCCAGCAGGTTATCAAATTACTGGGGCCGTCTAAAAAGCCAGTCAGAAAACTGAAGCCTAACTAGTAGTTGGGTTTTTTGAATGGAAAAAAGAAAAATTAAACCTCATGCACTTCACTCTTAAAGATTAATATCTGATATTATTTAAGCAACATCTTAAACTTTTGGGCTTAACTCAGACTTCTATAAATAGGGTTGATGTATATCTATATAAATCTTCAAGGTCTATTCTCGGCGGACTTGTTGCAAACTAATTTCGAGACGCCGAGCCGTTCAATTACAAAAGTTTTGCAGCCAAGTTAATAACATTTATCGCTCCCCATAAAACATATCCTGTGTGTGGGGGTGTTTTTGGCTCTGGGATGTGGACCCTTGGAAAAGTTACTGCAACAAGTTTAACCTTTTTTCCGGTTCGGCAAGGCGACTTCCTTGGCCCTGCTTGGCGCTTCCGGTTTTCCGACCAGCGAGCCAACATTGACTTACTTGCCGCACAAATTGAACGCGCTTGTACACTGGCAGAAAATATATGGCTTTTCATAAAATATATTTTAGGAAATTATTTGTAACAAAGGCATTGCTGTTTTGCACTTATTAGTAAAAACTATATATATTTAATAAGAGATATTAACAAAAATAATAAATTAATTATTATTTTAACAAACAAAAAATGAACAAAATTCCAAACTTATATTTTTGGGTATGATGTTTTCATTTTTAAGTGTACTTTTTTTTCTTTAACTCATTAGATGGCTTATAAAACAAATAAGATACAATTTTGTTTTGTCAGACGTAAACTAACTTAAATTAAAATACACATTTAGTACAATTAAAGACTAAATTTATTGGATTTGGTGGATTGGATTTGGCTTTGTACTTATTTATAGGTAAATGTATTTTGCATTTAATTTTGTTCCTTAAGTCATTAGCTTATTTTCAAAGCAAATTAAATACAACTCTGATTTTTACAGACGTTAAATTAAAATATAAAGATACTATTTTTACCTTTAAAAAAGTTATTTGAACTAATATTATTTCAAAGTTGATTTTCCTTATTTCTTATTTTATATTTTTACTCTGAAATTTGTTTTTTCTCTGTATATCGGCGCCAAAAGCTAGCATTACTTTGCCTAATAGTTTAGCAATTCCTTTAAGTACTTGAGCGTTCTGCGCCACCGAGCATTTGAGTAGATACATAGATAGATTGAGAGCTAGTAGATACATAGATAGATGGAGGGCTGTTGACACACTCATCCTGGGAATGTATCCCAGGAATGCGTCACTCCCACAAAAGCGCGGCAATCTCTCCAAATGCATTGCTCAAATTGCATTACAATTTAACGATGGTTTGAACTTAATTTCCCTTTTCCCCGGAACCGTTTGACAGTCGATAACTCATAAATGGCATTAGTTTAATCTCTTCCGATCGAAATTTCCGCTTCCCATTTTCCCCGACTGTGATAACTTGCTGGGATTTTTTTATACAAATAGGAAACCACTAAAATACAGATTACAGGATTACATTTTGACTTAAATTCAGGTAAAAAGCAGGATAAAATATGGTAAAAAATGATTTTTGGGTTCTAAAAAATGGTATCCGGCTTTACATTAATAATTGAATATATTATATCAATGCTTTGCCTTAAAATACAGATTTCATGGTAACAGTTTGCCTTGACTTATGATAAAACACAAGTTAATTGATGGTAAATAGCACCTTTTAGGTTTTCTAATTCTTAAAGCCTCTGATAAATCAATATCTGCCAGGTTTTAGTTATAATTAAGAACAAAGCTGCCATATTCAAGCATGAGCTTTAATTTATTGGCTCTCCAATTTATAGCCCTAATCAATGCCATACTAAAGCATTCAGTTACAGTCCATAAATAATGCCAGACATTCGCTAGTCAGAGGACCCATAAATAAAGCGCACAGTCCAAAGTATTTCGCATTCGAAAAATCCCAGGCCCTCCGCTGAGTTTACAACTCAACTTGAGTTGAGAAATGTTTGAAATATTTGGCATCTAACGGCGTTTTAAAGAGCCCAGAACGATATGCAAATGTTGGGGAAAAGATGGCTAAGAGCACCTCGAGCAGGTGAAAAAAATAAGGAAGAGGGTGAAAAATCGCATGCCTATGCATCGTTCCATTCTGTTTTATGGTTCATAAACTTTCGCTCCTTGGTGAGTGCTTTTTGCCCTTTTTTTTATGGGGGCACGTTGAATAAAAAACTGATTTGTTTTGCACCCCTCGCTGTTTGATGTTGCCGGCTGTTTGAGCTGTTTTGGCTGATTTCAGCCATTTGTTGCCAACGAAATGCGACTCAGTTTTTGGGGGCTAACATATGGCACTCACTTCGGCGCAATCGCATCATCATCAGCATCATCATTATGCTGACGAGTTGTTAATGATGAACATAATGACGACACGGAGCGCTTTGGGCCAACAAAGTTGTTAACATAAAATGGCTCGCTGCACACATGTACACCCACAATTTGCTCAGATTTCCCAAGTATGCTGTGTGTGTGTGTGCTTGTGTGTGTTTAACCACTTTCACCTTTTATAGTCCACATCTGTCACTGCAGTCGTTTTTCACCTGTGAAAAATGTGAAGGGCAGGTAAATAAGGCCAAATCGGCAAAAAAAAAAGAAAACGCACGGCAAAAAACGCATTGAAACTTTCACCACATACATTTTAATCGGCTTTATGGAAATTTCGTTTTAAAACTAATCGCATAACTCTATCAGAAAAGCAGAAATGTTATACCATTATCGGCTAACTAAGTTTAAAGCGATTTTAAAGCGTTCTTGTTTAGAAATAGTTATGCAAATTTTAAATATTTTTTATCTGGCATTAAACCCTCTAAGACTATATATATGTTAAAGACAATGAAGTCCTTATTTTTAAGATAAAAATAAGAAAATAAGTTAAGACCAATATAAGCCTAGTTTAAAGTCACTTCAAAGCACTTTGGTTCTAACCCAATTATGCAAATTTAAAATACTTTTTTTAACAGGCTTTTAAAACTTTATAAAACTAAATATTCGAAGAAATGGACTTCAATCAATCGATAAAAATAAGAAAATAAGTTAAGACTAATATAAGCCCAGTTTAAAGTCACTTCAAAGCACTTTGGTTCTAACCCAAATATGCAAATTTAAAAAACTTTTTTTAACAGGTTTTTTAAACATTATAAAACTATATACCCTGAAGAAAAGGACTTCAATCAATCGATAAAAATAAGAAAATAATTTCTTTCCCTGCACACATTTTTCGGCGAAAACTTGCAGTCAAAAGAGGAATATAAAATTTCATTAGATTTAGCATTTGAAAAAGGTAACCGGAGGAGCAAAAAAAAGAAAATACCGCCGAGGGGGTTGTTTGAGCTAAGGGTGTTGAGACCCAGTCTTCAACTTTGGGTCCCGGGGTTGGTTAAACTTTTCATGTTTTTACCCTGGGTTCTCCCAGTTTTCGGGGCCGCGGGCGATGGATGATTCTTATTTTGATTTCGCCCATGTTGTTGTGGGTTACTTTTCGGCATACGCCACCCGGTCGTATGAGCAATGTAAACAACTTTCCACCACTACTCACTTCCCAGCACTTTTCCGGGTGGATTTTCCATGATGAAAAGCAGGCATTTCCCCACCTCCCAACCAAATCAGATGCTCTGACGCACAGAAAATTTCATTTCAGATCAGAAATTTAAAAATACAAAAAAAAGGAATGCCAGTTCTGAAACTTGCCAGCTTTTTTACCAAATTTTTTCCATCCAAAAGAGTGCGTTGCATAGAAGTTGAGCGAAGAAGGCAATTGTTGAAGTGCAGGGAGCAACTAAAAAACCGAAAGATGAGCAAGACACCTCGAGTGGACTTCAGTGCAGAACCCATAGTGCTGCCCATGCCCCAGAATATGATCAAGGGTAAACTTCGGGGAAAGCATGTGACTGGGAGTTTCCAGCTGAAGGTCGAGCGAGATCCTTTGACGGAGAGACTGGAGATCACGGCCACGCTGCCCAGCCCACGACTTCCGCCGGAAACAGATCCATCGCCCCAGGAGGAGCAACTCTACGAGCTGTACGTGTGCAACAGCCAGGGCCAATTGCTGGCCAGGATGCCCTTCCTGGAGAGCGACTATCGAAGGGCAGCCCACCAGGCCATCGAATCCATGTCCTCATCCCCATCATTTCTGAAATTTCCAAGGATCAACCCAAACTGCATTCCCTTTTGATATGTGGAGGAGGAATACCTCTGCCTGCAACCGTCAAAATGTCAGCCTTCATTTACCAGGGTTCGCCATCCTGTCAGGAACTTCCGGTTATCGATTACCTGCTATAGCTCCTTTTTCATCTCTATCTCTTTAATTGGTTGCTGGATGGGATACTAAATTATACAAAAACTGCAGGGCTGTAAAATTATCTTTAGACTTCAATAAATTTATTGTAATTCGCTGTCTTTGGTATTTTTTAAAAATGTACATATATTAGCCATACTTATATTAGTTACCTTTAAATCACTTAATCACTTTGTTTTTATTAACAAAAAGTAGAATTTACAGGGAAATAATTTTAATTCCATTTTATTTTTGACTAAATTGGCGGTATAAGCCTTATCAAACAATTAGCAAATATAATTGATTAATAAATACTAACTTTATTTGAATGGTTTCAATTTCCCTTGCTATTTTAAAAGTATTTCTTAATACTGTAACCAAAATTTGTTGAGCCACAAAAAATAATATTAAAGTTGAATATTCCTTTTAATTTTACTATATATTACACATATTCTTGCTTCATTCAAGAAAAATTCCAAAATGTTAACTACAAGTTCTTTGCTGAAAAGTAAACGTCAGTTGCAAAGCTCTTTAACGAAGTAAATTAAAATAAATTTGGGAATATGCAAACTCAAGCTATTGACATGAAATTAGCAATCAGGGCAATGCAAACTTGCCATTCAATCAATGTTGTTTTGACAGTTACCTGGTTTTTGGCTTTTCATTTGAGCACACAATTTCAAATTGAAAATCCAGACACAAGAATATTAAGTATGTGCTTATGTCACAAACAGATATTGGAGGTTTAAGTATGGCACAAATGTAAGCGAATAAGTTACACATTAAGTTACATTTTAAGCTCTTAAACATCCAAAAGATTCCGCAGTTGTATGGTAATATTAAAATAAGGCCTTTCATTTATCCTGCTGAAATTTTAATGGGACTTTTCCGCTTCATCTCCTGAAAAACCCATAGCTGTTAAAAATCAACATATCCAAAATGTGAAGTCATAAGATAAACCACTTTGATAATCCCTCGTAAGCGATAATTGCAATTGGACGGGATGTGCGGTTGCTGGGATGGTTAAAAAAAAGGGGACCGCCAATAATTCCGACCATATATCCACTTACCACGCTCTCGCACAAACACATATGCAAAAGTACGTGTGCTTGTGTTTGTGTATCCTGTATGTAGGACGAAAAGACCCCAAAGAACATGCTATCAATTTTATTTTTATTTATTTTACCGCCCTCCACGAGCCCATTTTCCCTCGCATTTGTTTGCTCTTGGCCCAGGCTGAGCATATTTTGTAGCTCGTAAAAGTTTTTGATATAAAATGTAAACAAAAGGCGAAATGGGACACGGGGAGCACACAGCCGGAAAATTCTCGCAAATGGTGATTATGTAATTTTTAAAGTATGGAATATTTAAGTATTTCTAATTAAATGGATAATATTTTATTATATTGATTTATTGTATATAATTTTGTAATTAATTAATTTATTATTAATATAATAATATAGTAGATCTTAAGTTCTTATTAGATATTTTATTGCATGATCTAATAGGGGTTACGCTAAAGTTATATTTAAATTAGAATACTAACCTTGGGTTAACAAATTCTATGTTTTTATATAGTTCCTGAGTTCTTAAAAATATTACAGGTAGAAATAAAAAATTTTATGCAATTTAAAATCTTATTTTATTGACTCTCTTGGGATTATCATAAATTATTTTTTGATTTTTTTGTTGAAATTCAACAGTTTAGTATTTATACTTTCCTCTCAGTGCAGTCAACTCAAAATTATGGCGCGTTTTGTAACCAGCAAAAGGCCAAAACGAGTTTCGTCTTTCGCCTGCTTGTTTTTGTTGCGGCTTCTGCTTTTTTCGCCGCCCCTTTCCGTTTCCCTTTTCCGCCATTTTGGACGGCCATTGTGTGTGTGTGCGTGAGTGCTGTGCCTGTGTGTGTGTATGTAAAAGAGAGCGTGTCCAACGAGCCCTTTCAATTCTCGATGCTCACGCACTTGCACGTATTAATTAAAAAGTTCAGGGTCAGGCCAAGAGACAGACATCAGCTGGCCGAACGGGGGTTAAAAGAAAGGGGGGGGGGGGGGGGGGGAAAGAAAGCTGGTCAAAAGGGGAGAAAGGTAGGGTCAAAAGGGGGCGACCCCTGACTCGGGTATTTTTAGCCTGCCCCGGCAATGTTAGTCAAAAATTTCTCTGTTGCTCCTGCATAATTTGTTTACTCTACGGGCTTGACTTGCGGTCCCTCATTTTTAGTACCCTGTAATTTTCGACCATCATTAGTATCTTTTCTCACAAAATGAAAGCAGTGTACTACACAGAGAAAATTCAAACGTTCTCATCTGAGTTGAAACTGTTCTTAAAAATAGAACAACATTTTTAAGTTGAAAATGTTTTTATTTTGCTCGAATCAAGCTGAATTGGCGGTATTTAAGTACATGTATACTTATCAAAAAGTTGTTAAATAAACTCAATTTAACTTTTCTCTTCTCACCATTTCGTTCTTATATTGATACCAAAATGTACTTACACGGTTTTAAGAACGAATGTTCTCAATTCAAGAACAATGTTCTTGGATGCTTCTCTCTGTTTAGTTATTAATTTTTTAAAAGGTTTTTTACTGTGATTTATAAAACGAAATTTTTAAACCTTTTTATTTGCTTTTTAGTATATAATATAAATTTAATTTTAACGTCGATCAACCAATTTAATGGCTATAATACGTTGAGAATTTTAAAACAAATTTTTATTTATTCTAATTTTTAAAAAGATTATATCTTGATTAAATGCTAATAAAGTCAAAAAAACAAATAATTTCTTATTTTAAAGAAAGAATCACTTTATTTAAGGTAACTAAATTTGTAGTAATCGGACTTCTCGACTTTGGATCTCAATAAAATATTTTTAGATTTATAATAACAAGACTTCCTACAAGAAAATAATTGAACTGTTAAGCATAATAGTCCCTTTATATAACTAATTAAGTTCAGCTTAAAAACCACTTTTGTGAGCCATGTTTTTGACCAAAAGAAGTGCAGAATCATAACAGCCAGGATTGTTAGGGATATTTGCGGTCGAAACATGAAAGTAATTTTCACAAAAACCGTTGTACACTAGTTGACTTGCCATTTATCAGAAACAGGTCTTCAGCAGGACTTTCCCCGAACCACAAAAAAAAAACCCAAACGAGGAAAGCTGAAAACAAAGGCAGGAGGCACACACACACACACACACACACTCTGGGGGGAAAGGGGGTGGAAAAACAGGGGGTGGGGGTGGGAAAATGGGGGAAGTCCTTGCGGGTCACGGAAACTGTGCGTAACTATAATTAATTTCATTTTAGACTGGTTAGCAAATAAACGAGCAAACGATGCGGTTCGTTCGCTGGCTGCTTGTTTAGCTCTTCGAAGGAGGAGCCCCCAACCTTCCAAAGCCCCCAAAAACCCCCCGAACCATTTAAACCCCCCATCGAAGCCCCTAAAAAACATAACCACCCCCAACCATCGACTCGTTTTTGGCCAGTTGAGACACTATTTTTGACATCGTCCTTGTTGCCATGTTGTTGGCTTTTCACTTTGCCAGCACTTGACTGGCCAACTTTCGGCCCTGGGCCACCCGAAAACCACCCAAGCCCCCCCGAAAAACCCCCAAAAACCACCCAAAAATACCCCCCAAACCACCACCCACTTATAGTATAACTGTTGCTCATATTGCTGGCTTTCATTTCGAGTCGGTTGTCGAGCGTTGAAGTCCTTTGAAGGACCCAACGCTCAACCCTTATCAAAAATTCAACGGCATGATTTTATATCCCCGAAATTATTGATTCAACCTGAATGCCGAATCACTCCCTCGTTTTTCTTTTGGTCCCCCCACAGAAAGTTATCCCTCAGCCTAATCGCCTGGAACTCATTAACTTTCGTTCGCTGCAAATATTTTGTTTGAAATTGCTAGTCAGTGTTTGCAAATCATTTTTTTCGGGCCTAATTAGGGGCCTTGATGAGGAGTCATTTCAGGTTTAGTCTATTCCCTTTTTTCTGGAGGCACTCGATAAATTTTAAACTGTTTTTTAAAACCGTGTTTGTAAATATAAAACCTTTTTTGGAAATCAATAATATTTAAAATGGCTTGAAAGTAATTTCTAATTTTAAAGTACAAGTAGATACATTATTATACCCGTTACTCGTAGAGTAAAAGGGTATACTAGATTCGTCGGAAAGTATGTAACAGGCAGAAGGAAGCGTTTCCGACCCCATAAAGTATATATATTCTTGATCAGGATCACTAGCCGAGTCGATCTAGCCATGTCCGTCTGTCCGTCTGTCCGTCTGTCCGTCTGACCGTCTGTCCGTCTGTCCGTCTGTCTGTCCGTCCGGATGAACGCTGAGATCTCGGAAACTATGAGAGCTAGGCTATTGAGATTTGGCGTACAGATTCCTGAGCTTCTTACGCAGCGCAAGTTTGTTTCAGTAGACTGCCACGCCCACTCTAACGCCCACAAACCGCCCAAAACTGTAACTCCTACAGTTTTGATGCTAGATAGAAAATTTTAACTGAAATGTATTGTTCTCATCAATACCTATTGATTGACCTAAAAAAAAGTTTGCCACGCCCACTTAAACGCCCACAAACCGCGAAAACCTGTGACGCCCACAATTTGCATGCTAGATAAAAAATTTTAACTGAAATGCATTGGTGTCGTCAATACCTATCGATTGATCCAAAAATAATTTTGCCACGCCCACTCTAACGCCCATAACGCTTAAATCTGTCTACCGCCGGTAGGTGGCGCATTTTAATTTCGCTTTGCTGCTTGCATATCTCCATTTCCCTTTGAGTAACGGGTATCTGATAGTCGAGGTACTCGACTGTAGCGTTCTTCCTTGTTTTTTAAATACAAAAGTTAAAAAAAATTGATCAACATATTTTTGGCGTCAACTTTTGAGATGCTCTTCATTTTGTATATTAAAATTGAATTTTACTAGTTGCAACGCAAAAAACTAACTAGCTAGAAAATTTTGCTAAAAACTTTCATCATAAAAAACCTCTAAAAATGTTTTGCAACTTGTGTAGACTGGCATTTAAGATGGAAAGTTGTTAGCTTTACCCCACAGCAAAATAACCACAAAAAAACAAAA